AGGAAAAAAAAAAAAAAAAAAAAAAAAAAACATTCACACACACAACAAAACCCTCCCTAAGCGAGGGGGTTTCAAAAGACTCAGGAAACCACCGACGGTTAAACTCTGCACTGGGGCTCAGTCAAACCGACTCCAGGCTTGCACCTGTTCATCCCTGCGTCGACCAGGCACAACCCAGGTGCGGTTCCAACACGCCCTCTTGTCCCCAACCACCATCCCGCCCGGCACACCTCCCGGCCGGCCGGCAGCTGCAAGGTGCAGGTTTATGCCCCTTTCTCGTGAACGGTCCTAAAGGCAACCCAGACCTCAGGAGGCTCGTTTGCCACCGCGGAGAAGCGGCGGTTCGGATGCCCCGCAAAGCGCTGCCACTCCACCCCAAAGCGGCCGCGTTCGGTCACCTCCCCGCGGCTGCCGAGGTTTGGACCCCCGCTAGGCAAGCGACGCGATAGGCGAGTTCGCGTTTCCCGCCAGAGACTGGCGCTCCTTGGAACCACACTCCTAATCCCAAGAACCGCTCCAAGATGCTTCTTCTGTTCGAAGCTAACCCAGGATGTAGTGTCGACCTGGGAACTCTGCCTACACGTACCGACTCCAGTTTTTACATTCACCCAATGTAAGAAACTCCAAGAAACTCCTGTTCCCAGGAGGACCAGACCATGTTTGAGTACTGGGACAGAGCGCGAGCCTTCACCGTCCGTGTGCACAAAAAGTAGGACGTTTTCAAACATCGTGCAAGCCGGCGCGCGCCACGGAACTCAAGCGGGAAACAGGAGCAGCTTCAGGAAAGCTGCATCCGAACCTTCCCCCCGCTATTTACTGGGATAAATATTTTTTATCTTCCTCCCCCTATAGCCATGCTCACACACACACACACACACACACACAAAAATAGTTCCCGCGACCCTTCTTCGTGACCCCGACATCCCCAAGGTTCTAGTCGCTTGTACCCGTTCTTACAGGGGCTGCGCTCTAACTTTGCACGCTTACTACAAAGTCGGATGCAACTGGACTTACACTTACACTGATGCCTTCCATGGCAACACTCGCTCTCCAGCCGTGGTGGCTACCGGAGCACCGAACGCCTCGGAGGGTCTCTGCTACCTGCTGCACCAGGCAACAAATTGAAGTTTCTGGCCCGAACTGGACTTTTATAAAAACACGCTCGCGGTGCAGCGCATGCGCAGCTCGGAAGGGGCGGAGGAACCTGGCGGGGGCGGGGCTCAGGGCTCTGGGACACCGAAGTACCAGAGCGGCTGCTGTTCGGCTTGTAGGTCACCTCGTGGGTCCAGAGCCTGGCCGGATAAAGTTCTCGAACTTGGGGAAAGCAGGGTGCCAGCCAGGGAGTTTCTGTGGGTCGCGCATCCATCCTTGCTCAAGTGGATAGAATTCTAGACCTAAGAGTTTTCTAGAGTGACTTGGTGGCGGGAGTGACTTGGCGCCTACCTAACCAGTAGGCGGCAATGTTGGAAGCTCAGTAAGGGTCTGACTCCATTCCCTGAGCTGTCAGGAGCTACTACTATCCAAGCTTTTCTGGTCGCCAAGTATGTGTTACTGCACATTCATATTAATGACATCAGGATTAGATGTTGATAAGCAGAAAACACTTACGGACCTTTTGAGAAGTACAGCTATACTCCCAGGAAAAAAGTCACAACAGAGGCAACCAATTCGTGAAGAAACTTTTAAAAAAATGATTAAAATGTTTTATTATAAAGTAGAACTTAACGACGAGCACTATGTGTAACAGATCCCAAGAAACCTACACAGAAGCACTGCTTCATTTTCATTTCATAAGCAAAGAGGGATGCATCTAATTAACAGGTAATTACAGAGTCCCAGCTTCGGGCCACGAGCTGTTCTAGAAGCGGGGGATACAGCCGAGATCTCCTCGCGGCAGGCGGGCGCTC